TCCCTAGAGACTATCGGATTGGCAGAGGCCCAGGCCCATAAGAAAAACATCTTTAAAGCACGTTTTTGTCAAGTATGGTTTCTATGTCAGAAATCGAAACTACGGATCAAAAAGAAAATTTTCCGCCAAGTCTAAAGTTTTGTAAAAGACGGAGATTTTAAATACCGTTTACGTGTACCAAAAGCCAAGTTTTAAAGATTTTACATATCAGTTTAATAGGCAAGAGGAAACTGTCACTCCAGAAGACGACAAGTAGGAGCTACTAAACAAAGTGGGTCCATCGTTGCTGAGAAAAGGAAGAGAGGGTCAAATCTTGTTCGCCGTTTCCTTCACCCAGGCTTTTTACAAGCTGTTACGGTTAAAAGCGGATAACAGTGGAATATAAAATTGAACTTAGTCGTCTTTATCGATTCATACCACTACTGCATGGGGTTCGAAAACTTTGCGTCATTATGTTGCCAGAGTACTAGAAAAATATCTGCTTTCACTTCATTTCCAGTCCCTCTACCTCTCTAAAATGTTCGACGTATAAAGAACTACGTCGTTGTATTCTGAAATAGAACTGATTAACAGTAACTCCCCGGAACGTGCAAAAGAAAAGCGTAATCGTTCGTTAGGCAAGTTTGTTTCAGTAGAATGGTGCAACTCATATTCCGCGTCTCATAAAATATCGTTCCAATGAATTCTGGTACTACTGGTTAAGATCAGGAAATTTCACTCCCTATTTAAATTCACCTAGTGAGGCGAAACCTTTCAAAACTATGTCTCAACAGCTCTGCAAGGAATTCGCTACTGTTCGATTAGGTGGACAGATCAGATTCGACTAGAATAAATCAGATTATTCGACGAAAAGGTAGCTTCCTACCAGGCCTTTAAACGGCAGATGTTTTTTACTGTAAGCAATATAACGAATAATCATTTACCTCCTTCCACGACTATCAAATTGATGTCCTTGTGCAGCACGACAGTGCCCGTAAGGTATATCTGTTTGGCGTTCATTTCGACTTTGAACTTCTTCGCTGGATGCGACAAATCGGTCACTCTGTACACTGCCACATACACACCGCCGGACGTATCCTCTTGCAGCTTTCTGGCCTTCTTCGCAGCCCGTTGTTCTGGCGTCAACTTTCTGGCCAGATTTGTTTCCTCGTGCTTTTTTAGTCGCTTCGCCATCTGCTCACGAACGTGAGCTTCCATTTTAGTCGGGTCCTGTACAGCTTGACTGCCGAGAACGCGCATCAGGTTGCTGATCTTAACTAAAACAAACGACATGCCACTCACTGATTGCAAATGCGACGCAGGCCGCCAGCGTCGAAGCGCCTGCGGCCTTAATGATGGTAAAACTCACCTTTAGGCTCCGGTGGCGGCTCCAAGCCAAGGCGAATCTTTTCCTGCTTTTCTCGCTGCATCTCTTTTCGATTCTGACGACGCAGTTTTTTCTGTTCCTTTTTAGTCAAATAGACTTTCAAAAACTTTTTGTCATGAAATTCACCTGGAGGTTTTAACTGGATAGGATGCTCAACTAAACTGTTGATCATGTCGAACTTGATCGCATTTACATCGACGTCATAGCTAAATTACGTAATTAGGATGGGCTGGTTAGGCGTCTTGAGGAACGCGCTGAGATGGCAAACCGCATTTTACTCGCAGAAACGTTAATTCTAATATACGGTGAATCGCCATTTCAATGACTGAAAACGATTTACCTTTCGCCAGGCAAAATCACCGAGTCCCACCACTCGATGCCAGGTACTTCGGCGTCCGCCTAAATGACGACGACTAGTAACAAAGCGCACCGCTTTGGAACCGAACAGCTTACCGCTTCGGCCACTTGCGGCGCAACCATTGCCAGCTTCACCGCAGAAGATATGCCAGTTTTCTTAGCTGACTGTGAAATTTCCTGCTGCAGCTTTTCCAACCTGGTCTTCGCCCGAAGGCGATTGGCCAAGTTTTCAAACTCACCCTTGTCATGAAATTTAAACTGCCGCCTTTGACGCATGGCGCTTTTGATCCTAAAATGGAAACGTCGCCCCATATGTAGGTATGATTTAAAAGGCAAGCAGCAAAATCAAGTCCAGTTAATTACTACCAATCGAAAAAAATATCAAACCAACAAAAAGAACCCGTAAAATGTGCTCTTCTTCTGGGTCACAGTCAGCAAATTTTTGCGCAGAACCAAGTAACCGCCTTCCGGTGAAAACAAGATTTGATCGAGGGAGCAATGCACCGCTGAGGTCTGATCCTTCACTTTAGTGATGGGATGGAATAATGTTTTCTATTTTAGTTGAAAGCCGATGAATACAAAACATGGTGAATGTCATATTCGGGAAGTCAGTTACATGAAATGTCAGAAGAAAGCAAAAAAAGTTAAATTGCTGGGGTGTCAGTCTTTTGTCCACTTCTATAATATGCACTATATCGTTATGTGCGCGCAGGGTACTGTAGCGCCAATTAGAAGAATGTTTCTCAGACTACTGCGTTTACAAGCCAGGGGCTAAACCTTGATTTGGTAGATTGAGTTGATATTTCTTCTGACTGACTGTCCTTTCATACTCTGTCTCCTTGCAGCAGGAGAGACGTAAAGTGGGGTAAAGAAATACCGTTACTTCAATGAGTACCGGTACTTGCTTGCGAATTCGAGACATTCATTGTATTCCACGGAAGAGAATTCCCTTGCCGACCTGACAATGGCGGCCGGTTTCCAACCATTGGGTGCTCACGGCCATCAGCCAGGATATTATAATAATCCATCAGAGCCCCGTTGGTCAACCACTTCAGCGTTCACGACAAGCCTACATGATTAATGTACCAGCTAAATGGTAACAAACCCCAACGTACTTTTCAGTGCCCAATATATGCATTATATATTGCTTTCGCAGTATAATCAGAACCTTTTTTTCATGGAGCCGATGATGTGGTGCTAATCTCAGTTACGATGACATCAGCCAAGACTCTTCGTCTGAAGGCAATATGCAGTATAAAACATACGACTAACTGGCCATTATAACGAACAGTTCCTTGCTTTCTTAACCACAAAATAATCATTTACCTATCTCAAAATGACGAAAGGCAAATTAACTAGCCAGGATTCTAACAACGATTTGTCGACCGCAGATATGACGGCGTATTGACTAAGATAATCCGATCTTCAGGAAAGGTATGAAATATACTCATTTCTATTTTTAATCAAATTATGCGCATCGCCTAAATTCATCAACACAGTTCACTTCAAGTAAGCACACAACATCACAGACTACACACCCAGAAATATTAGGTGTTTCGGCCAGCACTACACCGAATGCGAAGTAGACGCGCAACAAGTTTAACCTTATGTACGCCCGAACTAAGACATTTAAGCGCTCACAAAGGCCTTACCTAATCCGGACACGTTCAGAAGCCTGGTCCAGTCGAACGGTCTATGTATTTTCTCTTGTTTATTTATGATTCTCTTATTCGTCTTTTTTCTCTTGTTTTTTATTGTTTATTTTTGCTTCACTGTCTGGAAACTCTCTGAAAGATCCGGAGTTTCTACCCACCATAACATTTGATTTCTGTGCAACGTCCAATCTACATCTACAGCACAGAGCAGCAACTACGAACTATTCGGCAGTCCCAAGCCATGCATTTGTAACCGAAAAAGGGCTATTAAAGTTCATTTCGATGCGGTGCCACGCACAAAATAAAGTTGCCTTTGATTCGATGGTTTGGAGTGGAATGCAGCAACCGATGTTAAAATACTGTTATTAAGTCGCTGCCAACGTTTTGCTACACAACAATGGCCGTCCTCGAGACAAAATACGTAAACAAAAGACGTTACACTGCAGCGGTGGTAGAGCATTTGACTCACAGTCGAAATATCGCAAGTTCAAACTCTAGCAGAGTCACTAGCCTTTAACGCTCTTGAGGCAGATAAACGAGTATAACACTGTGGGGAAAAACAACAGGCTACACGTCTTACTTCCCACACAACTGTCATTAAAATAAGGCAGTGCTGGCAGATCGCATGGAACCCGAGGTCAGCGCGGCATCATAATTTTAATGAGAAGGGTGTCAAATGTGGATTCCATAAGGTAAGTATAATAAAGAAGCCGAAAACCCAACGGCTACATACTTTCCTGGTCGGCGTACTTCAAAATAATACCAGTACTTCATAACACTTTGAAACAAACAGTGGAGCAGAAAACTTGTAAAATAAGACAAAGGTAGCTGTCGACAGACGTTCATCAAAATTAAAAAAAACGAATGTTATGGGTTTGGTATTAGCAGATGCGAAACGTTAAAACAAAATGTCGCTTCGTACCTGAGTCGGTAGTCAAAAAACGTTGCGGTCTCCTCGCCCTTCTCTTCACCTGACTGCGATGTTTCTTGCACGGCTCTTTTGAACTGAGCACGTTTCTCTGCTCGAATATTTGCCTACAGTTAGACGACGCAATGACTAACATTAAAATTATGCAACTGTTAACTGACGTAAAGTCGAATGACCACAAAAATGAACCAGAAAGCTTGCACACTCATCATCTGAACAGTGCATGAAAAATGAATGCGGTAAAAGAAGAAACCATGAAAGAAGTAACTACTCACAATGTCTAAGACAACATAGAAATACTGCAACGCTAAAAACGGACAAAGTTAGTATATTAGAAGAATTACGGCAGCCAAACGCAATAAGATAGCGGCCATCGAAATTTTCAAGTATTTGTGCAGTCAATGAAGCGAGAGTTTGGGGAAGACTAAGAGCTGCACAAACACTCAAGGCTGATTAATGTGAGCTGCCAAAGAATCGAAAATACGCCATTTTTAGCATCCGTTGCCGACTTTCCAATCATACCATACGTT